ATAAGATGAAGAGTAGAAGGCCCTCAAGGTACCAAAAGTAGGTGTACTTTTGATTGTAGAAAAGAAACTGTTGATGGGGACAAGGGACTTCCTGTTGCACAGATAGCTGCTGATATTTGTTGTAACTTGATTAGGAGAGTATTGTGCCACACGGAGTCAAATGCTTTCTCTAGATCTAGGAGAATTAGTTGTGTGTGTCTGTTTTTATTATGTTCTCGCAGTTATTACAACAGAAGTTGCTGCATGCATGAGTGATTTGATCTGAAGCTGAACTGTTGGGGGATAATTATATTGGAGTTGTTTATTCGGGCGTAAATGATTTTCTCAACTATCTTGCTTAAGATGCTGAGCAGACTTATTGGTCTATAGTTGGTTACTGCAGTTTCTGGTTTGCCTGGTTTTGGTATTATTTTGACAACTTTCCAACCTGAGGGGAAGTAGGAGAGCTTGAGGCAGATTTTGAGTATATAATAGATTTGCACTATTACGGAAGTTTTTTTAGTTGAACTGCTGTGATTTTATCAGGACCAGATGATTCGTTGTTTTGAAGATTTTTTATTATCATTTTTACCATTTGCGAGGTGCATCATAATGTGTTTGCTTTCGTTAACGAATATTTTAGTATGTGTGTTGCTTGTTGGTTTATGTCGTCTTCTATGGGGGAAGACCGTAGGTCGAGGACCTTGTTGTGGATCTTGAGAAAACTTTCGCAAGACCTTCAACTTTTTCTTCGTTAGTAGTATCTTGTATTGCTATTCGGGTGCTGGAGAATTGGTATTTGGTTTTTGGTTCCCTCTGTGATTTTGTATACGTTCCAAAGGGTGTGATCCATTTTGTGAATGCTAGCTAGTCTGTGCTGCCAGGTTTTGTTGTTCGTTTCTGTTATTCTTTTTCATATGGAGTTGAACAGCATGTTTCTGTAGAAGCATGTGTCTTGTAGAAGGCTGGAATTGCCAGTCCTTTGGTATTTTCTTCTATGTCTATTTCTTTTTTTTATGAAGTTATGCAGTATAGCATCGGTAGTGGTGCTATGGTTTTGAGGAGTCAGTGAGAGTGTTACCTTGCCGCAATGAATTTGATGGTGAGGGGCTGTGATTTATTTTTAGATTGTTACAAAGTTTGTTATACATGTTCCAATCAATTTGTTTGGGTGTGTGTTGCTGCGTTGTTTCTCTCCTCGTTAGGAACGAGAATGAAACCGGTAGGTGGTTGGAAGATAGGTCATCTATTGTGTGGCAATAGGGAATGTTTGATAGGAAGATGTCGATGTTAGACGGAGTGCAGTTAGGTTGTCTGTGGATGTACGTTGAGCTGTGGATGATTTAGTTCCGGAGTTCATCATGGTTCTTGATGGTGGAACCGTTTCTGTTTTTTCAGGGATTATTTCAGATGTGGTGCTTCGTATTGAAGTCACCACTTATAATATAATGTCGGGCCGTTGTGAAGTATAATGAGGTCTAGTTCGGAAGAGGAAATCTTAGTTTTTGGAGGTGCATATGCTGCTCCTACTGTTATGGATAGGGTGGTCTTGGTTCTAATTGATAGGAATTCAATATTGAGAGATGCTGGTTGTGGGATGTTTTCAGAAGGGATGCTGTTTTGTATTGCTATGAGCACTCTGCCCCTGGATTTGTTAGTGTCAGATGTTGGATCGTTTTCTCCGTTTTCTTTAACATTTTCGACCTTTTTCATAGATTTACGTAAGTTTACTCCGGTATTAGACCCCCACGTGGATACTCCCGGCGCTAGACCCCTACGTGAGTAATCCTGGCACTAGACCTCCACGTGAGTAATTCTGGCACTAGACCCCCACGTGGGTGTACCTGCATTAGACCCTCACGTGGGTGATCTCGGGTGAAAATGCAACATATTAACATTAAACCTACCACGAGCGATCAAATTGACTATTTTCGAACTTTTGTACAACTTTTATCACATAGTTGTCAACCTTTATGATTTTTCTAAAAATATACATACGATGTATTTTTCAATATTTACTTCTTGTTTTTTTTTTTTTTTCGAGAAATATATGTAGGATGCCCTAATTATCGCGAGCGGTCGAGAAAATATATTTATTTACATGTTATATTTTTATATGACACAGTACAATTTTATAACTACAGGAAAGAACATCAAAGTATACGTTAAGTTCTAAAAAGTTTCCTTTGCATCTTATGTTATAAGTGCTAATTTGAAGAAAGAAAACGTGTAAACCATACTTTGGCAAAGTAAGCAATACTTTGACGTAAATGTTGTATTTCATATATAATGCATTATTCTGTGGCGAATATTTACCCTAAAATGTCAAGCATTCTAAGAATATAAAATTATTAGAAAAAATAAACAACGTAGACGAAGAGTGTTCAGATTTCCATGAACAGGACATGGATTCCGACTGAAGACAACATGAAAAGAGATGATCTATTTACAACAGACGAATTAGAGTCCCCAGACAGAAATAATGAAAAGGAGGATTATAAATAAACGTAGAGGGCAAAAGAGAAGAAGATTATCATCGAGTTCTGAAAGAGAGTAATGTGAAGGACCAAAATATCAAAATTCTTCTGACGTAACAGTTTGGGAAGAAAGTTACAAATGTGAAAGAACACCAGTTCACAATATTTTTAGAGAAATGTTCGTTCCAACAACGAATATATATGCTAAACGACATATCATGAAAGGAGAAGTAAAAACTGCATTTTCTCTGATCATTGATCATGGTATAATGGAAGAAATAAGAACGTGCACAGAAGAAGCATTTAGAGTGTTAGGGACTAAATGGGAACTAAATGCAACAAAATTAGATGCATTTGTTGCTCTGCCATATGCTCGGAGCGCATATAAGGCAAAATATTTAGATTTATGGAATAAGGAATGTGGGGCAATGCCCGCATTTTTTTCAAAAACCATGAGCAGGAATGTTTATTGAAATTATGAGGTTTATAGATTTGATAAGAGAGCAAAAGAAGCCAGTGTTTACAAATTAATAAATTTGCTGTGATATCTGAAATATGGGGCCGGTTTATTGAGAATAACTGTTATAAACTATGTGCATACATAACTGTTGATAAGCAATTGTTTCCATTCAAGACTAGCTGTTGGTTTGCACAGTATATGCCAAACAAACCAGATAAGTTTGGAATAAAATTCTGGTTAACATCTGACGTCAATAGTGAATATGTAATAAATAGATTTCCATATTTGGGAAAGGATGAAGAGAATCTTCAATTTCATTTGGAGAGTTCGTTGTTCTCAAGCTGATAGAACCATTCATGGGATGTGGAACGTAACAATAGATAATTTTTTTACGAGTGTTTCATTGGTCAAAAAACCACTAGCAAAAAGAACCATTATTGTTGGAACCATCCGTGTAATAAACGTGAATTGCCTAAATTTGTCAAAAATCTGAAAGACAATATGACATGCTTTTCAACAAAACTATATAAATCGTATTTTTCTTACAGTATATAAAAACAAACCAAATGCTTCTACTAAGTTCCATGCATAACTTAATACAAATGGAAAAAAGTGATAAGTATGTACTGGCAACGATTAAATTTTATAATAGCACAAAATGTGGTATAGACATCGCGGACCAAATGGCAAGGAAATATAGTGTAAAATCGAAATATTGTAGATAGCTTTTCCAGGTGTTCTTCAATATTTTGGATCTAGCTGGAATAAATGCCTGGGTTTTGTACAGAGAAACAACTGGAGAAAAAATTTCAAGGCAGGAATTTTTATTCCAGTTAGCTGTAGAGCTTGCAGCTATATATCAAGAATCGCGGGAAGAAGAAATTATACCAAAATCACCAACAAATATAAATTTAAATTCACACTTACGAAAAACTTGTAAAGGTTACAAAACTACGGAAATCTACTCGAGATGCAAAAAATATGTGTGCGGCAAATGTACATTTGAGAACAAACTAGTTTGTAGAAAATGCAATGAAGACGAATAAGATATATATTTGTTTGGGCAATTTTCGGGTAAAAAAGACGTTAGGCTTCTTATCTACATAAAACAATTTGTTATTCTATTTTTAGATATAGATAACGGCTCACCCGTTTTTTTATGCTGGCAAGAAAGAAGTCCTAACGTCTACCACTCTATCGCGGCTATTGTGACGCGACAGTTTATTGTTTTCTTTCCCAGCCGATGACCCGCGTGCCTGTTATGTTTGGTGTCCTTAAACAGTTGGCATCGATCACTGTATCGATGCTTAATATTTTCACCGTTTTTACGTCAGGCAAACAAAATATGGCTCGGCTTTCAAATATGATTGGCTAATCAAGCCAATTTTTAATTTCTTTTTTAAGTTTATAATTGAAAATATACAAAAAAAAGTTTCTCTATTAATTATTTAATCTCTTGTCGAGAATTTTTGCTCCAAATTGCAACATTTTCTCAGTTTTAAGTATATTTAAATGTAACCCAGGCAAAACAAATGATAAGTTTATTACTTCCTAATAATTTCTATCCAGTGATATCATACCGACGAGTTCAAAAGAAAAAGAAAGCGACCAATTATTGTATACGATTCGATCACTCGTGGTCCGCGAACCAGTTGCCAACGCAGAGGGTTAATGCAGTACCAAATTGACCAATGTATACATTCAATTATAAAAACAATAACGTTTTTTAAGGACCGGGAATGGCAGGGTATAGATATACAAGAAATATCGGTAGGTTTAGTGTTAAGATCGTTAAACCGTGTAATATTGTTGCTGCAGAGATGTTTGACAGGAAAAATTAAAAAAAAAATAGTTAAATCTATCGTTCGTCAATGTACGATGGTGATGTACATAGCTATTAACACTTGGGATGAAAGTAAATTTTTATAATTCTCTTTTAAATTTAATTTATCTCAGTTCTGAAATTCTTAATTGGAAATAATATCAAAATATGTGGATTAAAAGCAACGTGAAAACGTTTCGTTACACAAATGTGACACAGATCTGCTTATTTCATTATATAAATTTGAAATATTTGCTTTCAGGAACGGGTTATTCGGCAAGCGAAAAGATGACAAATCAGAAGCTCAGGAAAAAAGATCTACAATCACCACAGGTTACTATAAAAAATCCTATTATTAAAAAAGAAAATAAAAATGCAGAATTGAAATTAATAAATTAAAAATTAAAACTTTGTAATAAAAGTAGGTATTGTTTTTAGTTAATTATGATATATCAATTACAATAATACAGTAATTTCATAATTAATTATGATGAGTAGGTATTTAAGGAATGTTTTACTAACTACGTTAGAGTCTTGAAAGTCTTCTGTATATATGAAGTTTCCGCTATAATTTGTATAAAAAATTACTTTTAGTTTTGTTTAATATACTTTAACTAATTTCAATAATCGATTTTTAACAGTTTCGTCAACATATAAAAGGGAACCATACATCAAATCGATGCTTGTACCGCCGCGTATAACGAGGGACCAACAGGAGTTTGATGAAGCTCTTGGTACTTTAGTTAGAAGAAGAAAGTACACGTTAGATAATTCCTCGTCGAGATACAGTTCGAGCTTGACTGTTAATGGTGATCCTGCAAGACTCTATGACGGCAGTCCGCAAGAAACCACTACATCTATTATGGGTGATCTTACACCGAAACCGCCAGCACGAAGGTGAATATTTTTAATTCAATTCCACATATGTATATATTATTACATACTATTTCAGTTTCATATATGTATATACTATTACACACTAATATATTGCCGAATTTCATTAGAATTTTGTAAAAATTTTCTTTGAGAGAAATTTTAAAAGTATTATATACATTCTTTGCTCAAAATAATTAGAGTTGCTATTATGAATGACTATTGCAGTGACTAATAAATCAGTAGAAGCACAAAAGTTCTAACGATTGTTCCAATTTCTCTGAGCTATTATTTGCAATTAAGTGATATTACAAAAGTAAAATATTATGTATTTACCTGAATATTTTATGACTGATAAATTTTAACTATTTAGTCTATTGTAATCAACAAGAAAAAATTGTCTCAATTGAGTATTACGTGTATGTGGTTAGAGAGTGATAAAGATTATAAAAGATATGTAAATAATAAAAGAAAATATACGGATACAAAGAATAAATTATTTTGAATATCGAACGTACATTTATAATTTTTATTTATTCTATTTTTAAAATTTTTCTTTAATTTTCTTAATTTTCTTTATAGAACCTTATAATGTAATTATAGTGTAATTATTTATACACACACATACATACACATTATATAATTATACTTACAAATGTACATTATATACAAAAAATATCAATTATATTTTTATATATGTATTAATCAAATTTTTGTATGTAGATTTGGTCAGACGAGTCCAAAGCCGACAGACAAGCTACCACCGCTAGATTTCGAAAACGAAAACCCAAATGAGAGTGAAAGTATAACACTTCGCGAAAAGATTCGAGAAAAAACACCTGTACCTCCTTTGTAAGCATATGAATTTACATTAGATTATAATTATTAAACCAATGAGAATGAATAAAAATTCTAATGTTAGTTGTATTTAATTTTTTTAGACGAAGATTTGGTAACAGATCATCGCAAAGGATGAACGCGAATACTCTGGATTTAGAGGAAGAAGCGAATCGATTAGGCGACATAATGATATGTGACGAGAATGAGAACGTATCTGGGGATTATATGTTTAAAAGATATTCTCAGGACACAGTTAGAAAGTCGAATCTCTCGATAAACAGTTGCGTTTCTGTCGGAAGTACGATGAGTTCGTATGGTCGTAAAAAACGAAGAGCACCGCAGCCTCCGCGACATTTGGAGAATGTGGAAACAAACGAAGTAAGTCTAAACCCTTGAAAAAGAGAATTAATTAAAACATCTTTCATTTTACGTTTTATAGAAGATTGCAGAAGGGACTAACATACAACTTCAGATAGTGGAACCGCTCGACATAGCAAAGGTTACCGAAAACATAGATGATCTGACGAAGAAAAGCAAGAATTTGGACGGAGAAATTAACGAAGTTAATTCAAAAGAGGTTAATAACGAAGGAAAATTAGTAGTTCCGATTCTGAATGATATACAAGTATCTGAAGAAACTACTACAGAACATAATTCAATAAAAGTTGTAAAAACTAATATAGAAACATTAGATAAAAAGGAAATTTGTACCGAGAAAGAACCAAAAGAAATTGTAGATGTAGAGCAAGCAGAAACAAAAATTTCAACTTCGAAGGATCAAAATATTACGAAACCTATTGAAAAAAATGAAGAAGATATTCAGGTTGAATATCGCAGAGCTTCTCAGGAAAATATAGAAATAATTAAAGATGTCGACCAAGTAAATTCATCATCAGAAATAGATATTTATCTTCAGAGAAAGAATTCTTCCAGTTCCTTGTCCAGAAGCGACAGTTTCTCAGTGAAAGATGAGATTGAAAAGATCGAAAGGCAAATAAAAGCATTAGAAACAAAAAATGCTTCTAAGGATTTAGAAGAGAAAAATTCGAATAATTTGCAAGAAAACGTGAGATATTCGATTCAGGAAAATCGTAGACATTTCTTTAAAAATATGGTGGAAAACGAGAATGATAAAGGTGCAATTAAGATAGAATTTAAGGAATTTCCAAAGGAACAAAAGGACATTCATGTGGTGAGATTAAATGACTCGCCTATTCCTACAGTAGTGTCTAGAGATCCAGTAAAAGTAATCGAGCTTCATATTTCTGAACCTATAAAACAAAAACCGGAGATTCTCGAGGATATAAATCCGATTCCAAAACCCAGAAGACATAGTGTTTTAAATATGAACGATTCTCAAGCTAATATAACTTCAACTGAAACTAGGAGCTTCGAACCGACCAGAGGGAAATCGCTTTAAAATTTATATTTTCAATGACAAATTCTTGTACGAAATTGTGCAATTTTTTCAGTCTCTAAATTAAACAGAAAAATATATATCTCTGTTGATCTTAATCGAGATATATTTTTTAAGACTGTATAAACATCATGTACATGTGCTTTTATTTAATGCTTCAAATCTACTTTGATCATTTGAAATAATTTTAGAATTTGGATTCTACATACTATGTAACTATAAGATAGAAAAACTTTTGCAATGTTTTTTAAGTACAGTATATTATTTTTCAAGATACGTACTTTGAAAGGTTGATAAATTGCAAATATACATATTATATACTTGAAGTATTTAGAGATCAAGTTTTAGATTTCAAGTATAAATTATGTGATTGTAGACTGTTCCCTGTTTATTTAGTAGTTTCATTATTTATTGATGCAGAATAAAGTCTGAAAATACTAGATTTGTGCTATGTCTTCTCAACAAGAAATGCATGTTGATAATTTTATTTAAAAGAATACAGAATATTTTAAATGTACTTTTATTTGTATGAACGATTATTTTTAAGGATAATGAAATTTATCTACTTTTTCAAGATGCTGCAAGGTTGCTTCAAGATGAAAAACTTTTATTATTATAAATTGTAAATATTAATATAGTACATTAATGTACTAATATATGACAATTGACAAAACAATGTTAATATATAAAATTAATATATAAAAAAAACAATAAGGCTTCTACAGATCTCTGATCCTTTTCTCTTTATATTTTATGAACCTTATGATATTTATATTCACAGTAGATATTACTGCAATATTGTCTCCTAAATTTTTGCTTTGTTGTTTCATCTATAAATAAAATAATTATAACAATAAATTCAAAATATGCGAATTTCATAATTTTAAATATTCAAATTGAAAACAATCGTACCTTATTTTTAAAAAGTGGTACCAAAGTATGTAATTTTTCTACTAATTTAATTTCACTTGCTAACTGATCGCTGTTGTCTTCTGCATATATATCCATTACTGCGTCCAAAGATTCAGCGATGACCCAAACTGACAACTCCGTTACACAAATGTCTAATAAAGATGTAGACACATACTGAAAAATCATTCATCACTGTAAAAAATCATTCATTGTAAACTTCAATAAAAATTTATACCTTGATTAACTCGTGAACTTCAGGAGTAACATTACTCATTAAAATCAAAGCCAAAGTCCCTAATATTCGTATCAAATTCACACGGACATTAATGTTTGAACATTGACGTTCTCCATTTAGTATTAGTTGAATATCAGCCAGCGTCAATTGATTAAAAATATTTGTTTTTTCTTCCGATAGTCTTTGAATAGCTGCTCTCATAGCTGCTGTAGCAGATTCCAATAAATCTATATCATTTGGATTTGTATCCTTGAAGACAATTGTTCCAATGTCCATCCACATACTTAAAAATAGTATAACATAAACAATTTTATTTCAATAATATATAAATTCTAATTTAAAAAAGTTTTATGCATTCTACCTATATATATTTTCTATACCACCAAGTGCGTCAACTTCTAAGCTTGATATCAAATTATTTAAACATAAGTAGGTTGTACATTTTAGTGTATGAACTTGTTTTAAAATGTTCTTTCCTTCAGCATTTTGTTGTAATATTTCTGTTATATCTTTGTCTATAAATCTAGTTTTATTCCATACTTTATTTACTATGCTACAAGTATTGAATACTTCTATCATTTCTAATGGTAAAGAGGAGATTTTATATAATTTATCATCCATATGTACATCATCAATATCTTCAGTTTCATAATCAGAATCTTCCAAATTAGATTCATTTTCATTTTCTTGATCTTCTGAACATAAGTTAGCTATAATCTCTAACGCTTGTTGCTGTGCACTAAAAATCCTTTGATTCTCCTGTACCTTCTTTTTTGTATTATTTGAAAAAGCATTCTTTTCACAAGATAAAATTGAAGCTAGATTGGACAATAACTGTTTACAGTCAATAGAAAGTACATCGGAAAGTACATTTATCACTTTGTATACAATATTCGTAGAATTACTTTCACTATGATTAATTAGATTAATCAATAAACTACTTATAGCAGTTTTAAAACATACTACTTCAGAAAGAGTAGTATTCTTTATTTCTATATTTAATAATTGAATAAGCGTATCTTCATAGTTCTGAAGTTTCTTAACAGCAACAGGATTATTTTCTGTTAATGATGTTAAACATTGTGTAGTAACTATGACAATTTCAATACCATAAGTAGCGACATCCAAAAACTTTGTTAGGATAGGTATAATATCATCTTTGTTACAACATTTTATAGCAAATTCACTGTGTTCGCATAGTGACCACAGTAATGTAACTGCTTGGATAAATGCTTCCTTTTCTTTGGTTATTTTGCCTTTTTTGTTATGATCAACGTTTGGTTGCCAATCTTTATAATACTACAAAATATATACAAATTATTAATTTTCATTAAAATAAAGTAAAATGAAATGATGAATTCTTCTGAATTTACTTGATTTAACAAAGTACACAACGGAGTCATAATGTCATCTTTCAATAAATTTGCATATGCTTCTGTTTTTGCATTATCCAATATACATCTTAAAGCATTCGCGCTACTAGCTCTTACAAGTGCATTTTTATCAACAAGTAGTGGCCCAATTAATTTAGCAATCCTATCTTTTGCAATCTGTATAGCAAGAACTGAATTACATGACATTGATTCAATGGTTTGCAATCCGGACAACTTTTCCTCGACATTTGCAGACTGTACCTGTAACATTAATAAATTTACAATTAATTTTATGTATTCAAACGATGGAATAATAAGATTTTATGTAATAGGAGCTAACCTCTTCGTATACTCTCTGTAAAGCATGTTTCTGATTTTCATTCGTGACATTTTCAATTTCTTCAATTTCAAAATCTTTGACAGACACAAGTCCTGTAGGATTTTGTTTATGAGGTCTATTTCTCTGTCTCTTTTGTTTTCCCATTTTTTTTTTTTTTTTTGGATTAATATATTATTAATATAAAAATTATTTACAGGTTAATTTTATTAGAAATAAACGTGTTCTTAATTCTACTTTTATCTTTCTATCTCTTTTTTTCTGTTTCTCTTGGATAATTTTAGTTATTTTACTTTATTGGATAATTTTAGTTATTTTATTTCTCATGATTAGTTAAGTTACTAGAAAACTCATTGGTATAGTAAATTTCATTGGCGAATCAAAATTACATATTTCTTCAACTCAGATTCATTTTTGTTAATGTTCTTAAAGAAAAGTAGCAAGAATTTACCCACAATCCCTCTGGATTTTTTATGGAGCATGCGCTTTGAACACTTACATTCACGTATTAATTTGAGCAAGTGAGAAATAATTTTTAAAAGAATTGTATTATCGTCAAATAAAAATTTATAACATTTTCAACAAAAAATATACTCTAAAATTACTTTTTTGTGATTATCATTTTTATGCTAATGTATTTCTATATAATATATTTTAGTAGAATAAGGGAATACCCCAAAAAACGTTTTACTTGGTACAATACTGTAGAGATTTAGAATTTTGATTGACTTTCAACACGCATGCGTGTGATTTAACTTCGTTGGGTCAAAATCAAATAATTCTCTTCAAATGTGTAACTGGTAATATCAGGTTTAGACACGTGTAAATTAACTTGTTTGACTGTTGAACAGTTTTCCAAATTTCCTGTGCACCGTAAGATATTTTTTTATTTTATTAATCCCTTTCAATTAAATAGCCACTTAACTGAAATTTTTATTCAAGTTAAATTTATCAATGTTGTTTTATTTAACAAATGACGTCAATGTTAGATAAACATTAGCAACTTTCTCTAAACTCAACTTTCAACTAAACTCAACTTTATTCGTTTAAATAAATTTATGTAAAACTGTAGCAAGTATGTTTTGTTTTATATATTAACGCAATATAATAGAATATGTTATATGTTAATTTTATATGTTAACGCAATATAAAATTAGTAGAAATTTTTTTTTATTAAAATTAATAAAAATCTTTTACCGTATTTATTATAGTTTGTTTAAGTTTTTACTAATTATTTTTTGTCATTTCTTAAAATTTAATTAATAGTATTAAATGTATAAAATGTATAAAAATTATAGAAATACGTGTGATCACGTTGTCACGAATGTTGAATTCATGTTATATTGTTTCGGCTTTTGCTTATAATTATGTTTACATTTATTATACAATTTTTTATGTACGTAAATACTGTAGTGATTATGTTCAAACGAATTAATACAGTGTTCTCTTAATCATTATCTTAGTCATATATTAAATCTTTTTGATTTTAATATTTAACCTTGCTTTCGGCAGTTCGGCAGTTTTAACGTAAGCGTGTTTGGGCAAATTATTTTTTGCAAATTATAAAAATCTTATTTTTATAATTTGAAAGCAAATTATTTATTCAGAGACTCGTAGATTTAAAAAAAGATATTTTTTCCTTATTAATTAATAATTAATAATTTTTTTTCTCTTATTAATAAATAAAAAAATTTGTTTTTACTTTTATTCAATGTAATACTAATGTGGTATAGCTTTCTTTAATTATAATATACCGTTATTTTTTTTTCAGATAAATTGCTGTTTTTCTGTTGTAAAATTGTTAAGAGTTAAATAAATCATGGCTGATCGAGACCGGAACAAAGGTCGTGGCCAAGGAAGAGGTAAAAGGACATCCGGGCATTATCAGGCACCTTCAGAACCACGTTCTCCTCCTTGGAGTCGTCCAGGTCCATCAGCAGGTCCATCAGCAGGTCCATCAGCAGGTCCATCAGCAGGTCCATCAGCAGCTTCACCAACAGGTCCTCCAGTAAGTCCTCTAGCATATCCTTCAGCACATCCTTTACCATACCCTTCACCATATTCTTCACCACATCCTTCATCATATCATTCATCACATCATTCATCACATCGTTCATCACATCGTTCATCACATCGTTCACCACATCCTTCACCATATCCTTCACCATATTCTTCAGCACATCCTGCATCAAGTCCTACATCAGGTCCTCCATCAGGTCCTCCTTCATTTGGTCCTTCATTTGGTCCTTCAAGTCCTCTATCAGGTCCTTCATTAGGTCCTTCAAGTCCTCTATCAGGTCCTTTATTAGGTCCTTCAAGTCCTTTATTAGATCCTTCATTATGTGCTTCAAGTCCTCCATCAGGTTCTTTATTAGGTCTTTCATTAGATCCTTTAGCAGGTCCTTCATCAGGTCTTATTCCTTCATTAAATCCTCAGTTACAACCAGGATCATCAAGAGCATCAACATCAAGAGCATCAACATCAAGAGCATCAACATCAAGAGCATCAACATCAGAACCTTCAACGGTAATTTATCTATAATTGATAATTTGGCAATTATATCATTTGGTTTTTAGATTCATAATTTATATAATCTAAATTCATCAATCATAGAACTCTGAATACAGTATGTACAGAATGGAACATTATATTTTATTATTATATAATAGTATTATAATTATATCAAACATATCAAAATTAGTAATACCATACCGAAATTATATAATATCATTTTAAAATAAGATACATTATAATTATATAATAACATATCAAAATTAGTAATACCATACCGAAATTATATAGTATCATTTTAAAATAAGGTCATATATTCTTTATATATTTATCTATCAAAAAACTATTAACTAATTTCAGATTATGTGTCCTTTGACATGAAGTAACTTTAGTCTGGTACATTTTTTTTTTTTTTTTTTGTGTCACCAATAACAGTTGATATTAGGTGGCCAGTTTTAGTATTTCACTCTGTATAATTCAGATTTAAATTAGTATATAAAAAGTATATACAAAGTAAATCACCATCAGGATAATTTTTGATCATCTTTTATATTTCTGTTGAGATACAGAAAAGTTTTTTTTAACAAAAATTGTTTAATATAGAGGAGGTTATAATAAAATAGTAATAGTTTAATAAAATAGTTTAATAAAATGTATATTTGATATATTTTAAAAGGTTTAAAACATGTTCAAAGTATTTACTTAAAACTATATGAGAAACATAGAAATGTTAGGAATATAAACGAAATAAAAACCTGTTTTGTTTATATAGAGCAAGATTTATCTAAAGTAAAGGAGATAGTAAAGGTTAATAGTGTATATTATTGTTTGGTAAACTATATTAATTATATGACATTATTTGTAATATTGTATATTACTATCTTGTTACCTTGTAATGAATTATTACAAAATATAATATTTTTGTATATTTTTTTAACGTCAGTTTATGTTATAATTATATATTTAAAGTGTTATTTTATTATCAAGTATTTTTCACTTTATGTTAGAGTGCTGGCAGAGCCACTCAAAGGGGCTTAGATGCTAAGAAAGAAGATGTACCAGGATATAGCCAAGGAAGTTCAGAATCAGCGCAAGGTGTGTTTAATAAACCTCATATTTTATTATTTCAATAATGTCATTTAATGTGAAGTATTTGTAATGTAATGGAAGTCACATAATGTAATGGAATGATTACAATTGAAGATGTATTATTTGACTATGAATTCTTTCGTCTTCATATGTAATTAAACAAATTATATAGAAAAAATTTATTATAAGAATTTATATATATAATGTTTTCTAATAGGAGGAGAAGCAGGAACGCAATTGGGAAGAGGAGCTATGCGTGGTAAACGCGCGATAGTTCGGGAAATAGTAACAAGACCACCTACTTTGCAAAACAAAAGAGGTTTGGATATTTTTATGTGAAATATCTACATAAATATATATAACATAAATATGGAAATTTTTAGGTACTTCTGGAGAGAGTGCGGTAATGCAAGCAAACTATTTTGCATTACTATCAACACCTGATTGGTGTTTATATCAATATCGAGTTGATTTTGCACCAGACGAAGAACGAACTGCGGTCCGTAAAGGATTACTTAAACCTCATAGAGGTCAATTGGACTCATTTGTTTTTGATGGAACTATTTTATACTCTAGAACACGTATGGCAGATGTAAGATGTTTTTCAATGAATCAAATGTGTATTTGATGAAATAAAATAATATCTGCAATATGAATTTAATTCTAGATGGAATTTTGGTCTCAACGACAATCGGATAATACTAATGTTAGAATCACTATACGTCTTGTTGGAGATATGAAGCGAGGCGATCCACATTATATTCAATTTTTTAATACAATTATGCGAAAATGTCTGGTTGCATTGAAACTTGAACTTGTAGGACGCGATTACTTCGACGAACAAAATAAAGTAAGTATAGAAGTATTCATTTGTTACAATTGTTTATTTGTAAATATGAATTGCTTAATATAACTATAATTAAAACATAGATGGAGGTACCTCATTATAGACTAGAACTTTGGCCTGGTTATCTCACATCTATAAGGCAACATGAAAGCAATATTCTTATGTGTTCTGAAGTTATACACAAAGTCATGCGCCAGCAAACTTTGTTAGATATATTGAGGGGGTGTTACAATAAATATAAGGACCAATATCAAGTAAGAATATTGATCACTAGTGTATTTTCAAGTTTAATCGTATATTTTTATTAAACACTTCATATTTTTAGCCATACTTTACAGAGCGAGTTGTTGGATTAGTCGTACTTACTGATTACAACAACCACACTTATCGTATAACGGATGTAGATTATGATGCAACCCCGAGTTCAACGTTTACATTGAAAACCGGTGATACAGTATCGTACAGAGATTATTATAAAGAAAAATATCAAATTGAGATTAGAAACGGTCATCAACCAATGCTTGTAACAAAATCAAAAACGCGTGACCGTAATGCTATGCAAGCTCAAATGGTGTACCTTGTTCCTGAATTATGTCGTGTAACAGGTGCTCTTTTATTGCATTCTATGTAGATTCTATATTTCTATAATTGATTCTACTGTATCTGATAAACCATTCTAATATATATATAAACCATTCTAATATATATAAACCATTCTAATATATATGATAAACCATTTTTTTGCAGGTATAGATCAGGAAATGAGGGAGAATTTCACTTTAATGAGGGATTTGGCAGACTATACACGTGTAAACCCAGAGGCACGTATAAGAAGGTTAATAACTTTTAATGAAAGACTTCGCTCGGAACCCGAAATCTCAAAAGAATTAAGTGACTGGAATTTGAAACTTGACAATAAATTGGTTACTGTACCAGCACGTATTTTGCCATCAGAAAAAATATATTTGGCCGGCAAGCGACCAGTTTCTACGGGTAATTTTGCTGATTGGACAAAAGAATTGCATAATAAACCATTATTCATAGTAACTCAGTTAAAACAGTGGACATTAATCTCCCCGCTACACAGTAAACGCTATCTTAAGGTCAGATATATTAAAATTTTCTAAATTTAAATTTTGTTCTTTATTTCTATTAATTCATTATTATAATGTATTATTTATTTTGTAGGAATTCCTCCAATATCTTTCACAGTCTGCACTTGGAATGGGTTGTCGAATAGACAAACCATATGTTGTCTATGTTGATGACGATCGAACCGGTACTTATTCCAGTGCTCTGGAGCATGAACTGAGTACTACTTGTCCTGAATTAATGTTTTGCGTAGTACCAAATAATCGAACCGAACGATACAGCGCAATAAAGAAAAAATGTATTTTGGATAGGCCGATACCTTCACAAGTTTTACTCCACAAGACTCTTACAAATAGAAATTTAAGAACGATAGCTACGAAAGTAGCTATTCAAATAAATTGCAAATTGGGTGGTGCTCCATGGAGTATTGATTTGGTATCAAAGAACATGATGGTGATCGGTTTTGACGTGTGTCACGACCCTGTCGATAAAAGTAATGATTTTGGTGCAATGGTTGCGTCATTAAACGAAAATTTATCAAGATTCTTTACTGTAGTAAACCCTCATACTGGAGGAGAGGAACTTTCGACCTCTTTCGCGAAAAATGTAGAAAATGCTTTGATAGCTTATAGAGAAAGGAATAAAGTTCTACCATCGTACATAGTCATCTATCGTGATGGCGTTGGTGAGGGCCAAATACCGCTAGTATATGAACAGGAATTATCACGTATACAGGTTAAATTAAATACTATTTACGGAGAAGCTTCCTTAGCAGTTAAAATGGCATTTGTGATAGTTACAAAACGAATTAATACTCGAATCTTCTATAGAAATGCAAATCCTCCGCCGGGTACAGTTGTCGATGATGTTATAACTAATCCATTAAAATATGACTTTTTTATTGTATCTCAAAGTGTCCGAAGAGGTACGGTGTCACCATGTTCATACAATGTAATTGCAGATAGTACAGAGTGGAGACCTGATCATATGCAAAGATTGACATATAAGTTATGTCATATGTATTATAATTGGTCTGGTACTGTAAGAGTTCCTGCACCTTGTCAATATGCTCACAAACTTGCATACTTAGTGGCACAATATTTACGTTGTTCACCAGAGAGAAAGATGCGAGATGTATTATACTTTTTATAATCTCTGTTGATATACGTCATACTATTATTTCTTAAAGTACAAATTAAGATATATAAATCATAAACAAAATAATTTGAAGTTATATTTTAAAAATTTTTTGTGTTATGACAGATTATTATTTTTATTTTTATACGGTTTATACAATTCTATAAGTATTATATGAATTATAGTAATACTACTTAAATAATATTTTATCTTTTTTTTTTTTTATTTGCTGTAGCTATATAAAGTGAAAAAAGAAACAAATTAGAAAAAAATAATTTATTAATAATTTTGTGTTTTATTACATAGAAGACAATTTGAGGCATAAAGAATTTGAAACGTAAAGTATAGGAGAAATAATTTTTTTTTATTTATGTTGCACGTAGTAATTCAGATTATTTAAGATTTCTTATTACAAATAAAAGTTAATACATTGCGTATTTCATACTTCTTTAAATGAAAGATTTACTTTGGAATTACGTTTTCTTTCTTTTTTTTTTTTTTTTTTTTTTCACGCAGCAGTATTTTTAGGGATGTATTATTATTTATAAGAGTCTTATAAAAATGTTGAGTTTTCACGATAGAGTGAGTTTGTGTCCAAGATATGGATGTTCAGACAATAAGAACTGCATTTTAGTTATAGCTATGATCTATAAAAAAACTGTTTAACTTTGTGCACTGATCTTTTATAGTACTATATCAATTGATATTATTATTTGAGGTATATTGTGAAGGCTACAGTATACATAATTGAGTTATGTAAAACTTTTCATAAGAAAAATAAAATTATATATTTTTAATAATTTTGTGTAAGATAATTTTTTGTTGATACAATAATACGTGTTAGCTGGTTATATATTTCTAAAAAATGTCGAGTATCTTTTCTTTATTATGAATGAAATATAAATATCTAATACTTAACACTTAAATGTAATCTCGTAAAGTTAACTGATAGGAACAATGGCCAGCTAGTAGAGCAAAATGGTTAATTTAATGCATTGATTAATCACAGAATTAACGAACAGATTTAACGTACAATGTTTTTCATCTTACCATTTTTATGTAACATGCGTTATTTATTCAGCACAATAATTTGAATTAAATTTTACGAAATTATAATATTAAGAATGCTAAACTTGTAGATTAATCATTCTTTTACCGATTTTGACGATTTTTAAATACATATGTTGTATAAAGAAAGCCAACATATCGAACAATTTTTTTCTTTCTATATATTATTGCCAAACTTTCTTAAAAAAATTTTAAGATATTGAGTGAAGGATTGTATCATTATAATGAATTCTGAATTCGGTATCATTGAGTGAATCATTACAATGAATAATTATTTGTCCGTATATTTATCGGTATTGGTGGTCTATCAGAAACTTTTCAGATCGCGATACGTGAAGATGTGTTTGGAAATGAAATGTAAACACTTAAATCTTTCTTTTTTGAGTATATGTCGAATGGCCAGATTCCCAGGTCTCCTTCAACAACGGCTTCAAATTCTAGGATTGCTCTTGAGAGCATTTTATGTTGCTGACTGATCAACTGTAATGATTTTTTTTTTTTTTAAATGCATTAAACGTCATGTCAGTTATTGGTGATTGACAATGTACTTCCGTTCTCTATCGTCAGTCACCAGTGTACGATAGAAAATTTTAACGTATTAAGCGTCACAACTGAAAATAAATTTTAATAATGACACCAAAATTAAACTAAAAATTCTTATACTAAAAATTAAATCGTTAAATTAATCGAAAATTATGAAAAAAAAAATGTATCCAAATATTAATTCTTATTATAAAATTTATTTTAAAATTAAAAAGAAAATAAAATTATTAAATGTGAGCGAACGTTAATCAGACCGCCCGTTCCTAGGCGTGGGAAGACTTCCTCGCCTATTTCCTAGAAGAGGCCACTCGAGGTTAAGGACCATAAGTCGATTCCGATGTCTTATGTTTATAACCGATGCATATAAACTGAGCTAGGGTATCCGGACGAGGGTTGGACCGAGGAAGATACTCGAACTAGAGTACGAAGCCAGGCGGCATTCCTTCTGCAGAACGTCGCCGAGATCGCACGTCCGAGCCAGTCTTCAGTTTAACAATAAAATATACGTTTTCTTATTAACGGGAATTAAAATTATTACCTACATTTGGTCCAAAATTGCAATATTTTTTCAATTTTAAATATATTAAAATGTAAGCCAGGCAAAACAAATAATAAATTTATTACTTCTCAATAATTTTTATCCAGTGACATACCGATGAATTCAAAAAGAAGACTAATTATTAGTATACGGTTTGGTCCCAGAGACTGAAAACCGAAATATTTTGAGGTTTAGGTACTGAATTATGTCGTAATGTAGCGTGGGAGATACAACGATGAATTAGTATTAGAAATGATTATTAATAATAAAGGATAACAACGTATAAATATGGTAATGGTTAAAAACGAGTATATGAGAGAAAAGTAAACATTTTATTCTTGATTTGCCCGAATAATTAATATATTATTTATACAATCGTCATGTAAATTGTAACGATGCGGCGATAAAATATATTTTAAAGACGAAAAAAGGCGTTCGATGGAACTGCTAAAATTGCAGCAGCTACTTTATACAGCTCTGGCATGGATGTTTTATTTTTTCTCCAAAAGTAAAAAATATTCTCTTTTGATTTTAACCGAGGAAATTCAGAAAATGTCTTCAAATCGTTATTTAAACTTGCAGTAGTAGTAAATGTTTTATTTTTATTTTCGCGTTCCAATTCCATCAACATTCCAATTTACTCTTTTTCTTTCCAGTATTGTCAGCCTCTTCAGGTTTCCTCTTACGTGATTCTTTCTCTAACTGCACTCTAGTGAATTCATTTGGATGAGAATTGCCCGAGTGCATTTCTAAATTTGTTCCGTGCTTTCCTTTCACGATATGTTTACAATTATTAATGGCACATACAGATGTATTAGTCGAAGCGTCGTACTTGAAGTATTTGTAAACTGGACTTGTTGCGTTTCTTCCCATATTGGCACAAAACAAATAGTTTTGGGGATGTTTGCTTGTGGATAGTATTTAAGAGGTGATAGTTTTTGACACTATAGATTGTACTATAGATTGTAACAACACTAGGACGCGATGAACTCGGAGACGAACGATCGGCGTTTACGTCGTGAAAATCTCTCGATATCTGCAAGCTCGCTGCTTTTCCTGCTGTTAGGAAAACTCGATTCCCATCTCGGACATCCCTAATTGGCCGAGTGATTTCTGGATTTTAACCGATTAGGTTTTTTTCATGAAATTGCGCCGCCTACTCCTTGCGTTCGTAACGTGCTTTTTCCGAGAGTGGGACTGCAATTTCGCGATTTTCCTAATTTAGTGGCAGTGTAGCAGGGTTTTCTCTCCAAGTGTTTTCCAAACGTAGGTCTGGGTGGGCCCTTGGAAACCTAGGGTTTACGACGCTTCGCGGAAATGCTATTGCGGCCGAATTACTAAAAACTTCGAGTGCAGATGTCTGGTCTTTATGCACTGTGAGAAATAAACTTGGCCTTCACAATTCAATAGCATAGGCGACACGTGAGTCGTAAACTCTCCTAACTGCATGTCTGAGAAAACGACTTTCTCCGACATCTGCTAGCCGCTAATATAAATAAAATAAAATAAAAAACTAATAAAAAAGCTAATAAAAATAAATAAAGTGTA